TGCATCCCGCGACAAGGTGACAAACAGAATGTATATCTGGCAGGTATGGTAAACACCGTTTATGCACATAAATGGAATACAAACTAAGAGGATTGCTGCAACACTGGCTGTGGCCTCTGAGATTAAGGGCCTGTTTTCATCTACATGAATACTAACTCACTTCTGTACCTCAAAACTCATAACAGAGTTCTATGCTTCCATTATATGTTCAGTGACTAAGCGACAACTGTGTAAACAGTAGTGGGAGGGGTGTGTGTGTGTGTGTGTGTGTGTGTGTGTGCTAAATGCGTAAATCTAACATACTCAACCCCAACTTTATTCATTTCTGTAAATTTTTAAATAGTGGAGTAAGCCTTAGTAATTTGTTCTTTACGGGTAATGGGAAATATTCGATCTGGGAGTGATTTGCATGTATATTTTAGTTGAGACCGCACAACGACACCACATGTGAGAGTGTACTCGAACACCCATTCCTTAATTAGACAGGGTATTACACTGTTCAATTCATTTTACTTTACATGCAATCAACGACATGTGCCCTTCGGTCGAGCAAATGAAGACTCAATGTGTCATATCAGTTTAATATTATTTTACACGCCGATTGAGTTTGGAAGATTTAATCGGTGAAGTGTAGGTCAAACATTTCCCAACATTAACTTGCTACTGACAACTATCACGAAGGGCAATACTCATAGAAGATGTTGGACCAGATATTGTCACGAGTGGGGTACGTGGACCATCAGTGAAGGGTTTGTGGGACCAAAATATATCCACTTACATCGCTGATTGTGCATGACATATACTGCAAAATACCCTTAATATATTATAATATCACATTTGTTCAGTGCACCAAAAGAGTCATTGTTCAACAGTAGAAATAAAATTCACATGTTGTTAATCAGTGCAAGGTAAATTGTCATGACAACGGAATGGCATACACGTACCTGACATTGTGGACCCAAAGTGCAACATAAACATTCAAACCCCTATGCCATTTGTTTTTCGATTTCAGTTCTGATTTCAGTAGCTTTCTCACGTGCCCAAAAGACACATCGTGTCGGGAATCGCACGTAAGATCTCCAAGTCATCGATAGCCGTCTCTTTGTCAGGTTCAGGACAGTCACCAAGTTATTCCTTGTCGACGAGCACCCTCATGATCTAGTGAATAGAACGCCTGCTTGGACAGCGGCACTTCAGTGGTTCGACCCCTGGCACCATCAAACTAACTGACTTAAAAAGATTGATAAACTTGTTTTTATCCTAGTTGTAGTTCCAAATAAGAGGATAAATAAGAATTGGTGTGACCGGAGATAGTATACAGTGTGTGAGTGGCGTGTCCAGGGTAAACTGGTATCTCAGTATGGTTAGATGAGTAATCTACGGATGTATAAGTCCGGACCAGTGTTAACAGCATACACACACACATGCATGCACACACACAAAGACAAGTACATACACACATGCAAAGGTACATAGACGCACGTACACACTCCTATATGGACTCAATAATCTTGAGAACAGCGTTTAACCCTGTTTCACGTCATCTCGGGGTTGCCTTTAATGATTTAAAACCGTTAAATGGCAAAAACCACTGTTAAGTTTAGCATTGTGTCATATATACATTATATCAGGTGTATAGATTATGAAGAACATCAAACATGAAAGTAGTTACTTATACAAATACTTTAACATGAAATACCCTATACCTATTTTCAGTTAGATATTCTCATTTTTGAATGTAATTTGTATAGTTCCAGTTCCGGCTTAACTCGATCAATATGTATATTTGTTTTGCTACTGTTTCAGTATCCTGTTGTTTACGGTTCAGATGCACCATTAGATGCACACAAAACATTGACACGGTGTATCAAATATATACTACAACACAGGCGACGATGAAAGATCAATGTTTACTGTTGAGCGAAGTAACAAAATAAGCCAGAAAGTGACACACTGATAATTGTTGTGTTCTCTTCTTTGCTGACATGTCCTGTTTTCAGCGTTATACATATCCATCTGTGGCTTGGAATCTACTTATAGAATTTTGAATATATGAAACTTGAATTATATTTTTTATATCGGGATTTTCTCCTTCGTTCCTCGTTCAGGCAACTTTGATGGCCTCGTAATTGAGAAGTAGAAGATCACCGGCAGTGTAAATCAAGATATCTCGGAACGGATTTGACAGAACTTCTTTAACCATGACGGCAGGTACCTCCACCCTGATTGCCCATGATGCCTTCATCAGCGCGTTGACAGCACCATCCCAATTGTTCCAGGCTAATTTCTTGCGTACTTCAGAAGGACACAGACTTTACTGAAATGAGTGAATATTACAAAACTGCAAATGAGTACCGAAGTGCGGGAGCTTATATAATAGAAGTGACTTTGAAATAGGTTTGTAGAATCTATACGCGTGCAAGAGAGAATGCGTGGTTGCCAACTTCTTTATAAAGGGGAACAGAACCTTTTAGAGTATACGCTTACTCCTTCAACAGGTTATTGAACGCCAGGATGGGGAGAGCGTATGGATGTTCGTGTAAGAACTACAATAGAAATAACATACCACCTTTGTTATCTTATGACCTATGTCGTTCTTAGATGTACATGACTTGCAATCAAAAAGCTCAAGAGTTTGTAGGAATCCGCCAAGTTCTCCTACAAGTTCATACTTGACCGACTGTCAAAATGTTTCCAAAACAATGTGTGACAGGACATAAAACGTTTTCTATACAGTGCAACTGCTCATCATGTATGCCTTTGATATGTTCTAGAAGAACATGCATATGTATTTAAACACACCAAGAACGTTCCCTTCCTTGTCCATCAGCAAATGCTTTGTATTTAAGTCGCTAGTTTGAACGATTTATGGTGACAAACAGAAAGTGAAAATAGCAATAACCCCTCACAGTTTCTACAAAACGCGCCCCAAGAAATACATAAAACCTGCGTGATACAAAGGACACGCTCAGAACATGTGACGGGATGACGTGGTCGAATCAAAGCTATATAACGTATCATAATATTGTGAGCGACCAGTTGCGTTTTTCCTTTAGTGGAATGAATACAATGTCGACCTGACATTGTTGGTACAGCTGTTCTCATCAGAGGGCCAATATCTTCTGTCAATGTGTGTGATAAGATTTTCCTAAATTGTCAGCTTTCAGAGGACTTCTCACTTAGATTTCCTTCATATACATAAATTACCATACTGACCAAAACGGTGCATCATATGATATTTTCAACAAATTAAAAGTTAGTCTGTATTGCATGTTTGCCGGGGGCGGGACACTCATATACAGGGATTTTGAATGTGAACTGCACACAAAGATTGTTTAGCTATTGTTCAGGTTCAGAAACACACCTTTGCAATGCGTGCCGTGGCTTGCTTCAAAGAAACGTTTTACGCGAAGTTTCGGAGTAGTTTAATGTTACTACATGTTCATCATGACACCTCTAATGTGGGTACATGATACTACATGTTCTTCATGACACCTCTAATGTGGGTACATGATACTATATGTTCATCATGACACCTCTAATGTGGGTACATGATACTACATGTTCATCATGACACCTCTAATGTGGGTACATGATACTACATGCTCATCATGACACCTCTAATGTGGGTACATGATACTACATGCTCATCATGACACCTCTAATGTGGGTACATGATACTACATGTTCATCATGACACCTCTAATGTGGGTACATGATACTACATGTTCATCATGACACCTCTAATGTGGGTACATGATACTACATGTTCATCATGACACCTCTAATGTGGGTACATGATACTACATGCTCATCATGACACCTCTAATGTGGGTACATGATACTACATGTTCATCATGACACCTCTAATGTGGGTACATGATACTACATGTTCATCATGACACCTCTAATGTTGGTACATGATACTACATGCTCATCATGACACCTCTAATGTTGGCACATGATACTACATGCTCATCATGACACCTCTAAATGTGTCAAGGTGCAGTGAAATGAACCCGTCAGTCGGTCATCACCATACACCGGATTCTCGGGACTATTTCTGCTGTTGCGGGCGTCACAGGTCGTCCAGGACAGAGATTCAAGGTTATCTCTGCTACGCTTAAACGTTGCTCCTTACTTCTTAAGGGTGGCTTTGGACGTGGCACCATTCCCCAAAGTTGTATTTATATCTTGATGTATATATGTCAGTGTTAAGTAAGCCCTTTGCCTGCGAGCACTTGATCACTGTATGTTCCTTAAGTCTGTCAATTATCTAAACGTCACAATACCCTTGCTCAGTTTACTGACTTGTCACAGCCAAACAAACAGCTCAGCTGTGTCTGTTGCTTTATGGATGTACCATGTAATGTCCACAGCAAAACGGTTCTGCTCAGAACTCATCAGACAGCCCTTGAAGATATGCGATCACGAGGCTCAGAGCATGCCATTCAACCATTCAACTTATGAGCTTCAAATACATTCAATCCTACACTTTAAGGGCTACTGGTAGGTTACCAAGCACTGTAATGGATTTGCAATGATATGACATATGATATATGTTTGTCCTAAACGTCACTTCCATACAATTGGTCTGCACACAATATGCACTCATTCCCACAGTGAGATAAAGCTGTTTTCATTCAACAGGATCTCGCCCAGTTCAGCTGCAGGGCAGACTAAGCACCATGGTGAAGATATCGAGCCACTAGCATGATCCACTAGCTAGGCATTTCTCTAAAGTAGCATAAAATGAAGTAACCAACAGTTAAGTATTGTGTATCGTTTTTGTGAGTTGTTATACATGCCCATAGGGTATGCGCCGGGTAGAGAGTTGTGTCCCGCAGTTACGTCAAGATGGTTGGTTCGACTATGATCCTTGGCCTGTAACACCCGTGCCAGTAGGTTTCCACAAAGTGGTGATGACTTCGACATCTGTCAATCTGACTATCACTGCAGCTGTATGTCCTAATGTGTTACTATGTCGTAAGATGCTGAGTCGGCCATGACGTTACTGACGTCGGCTGCCACTGACCGTCAGTAAGAACGGGGACTATGTAAGTCCGAAGTTCTCCAAACGTAAGAGAAATTTCACATCATGGCATTTCACATAATCCCCATTGTAATCTTCTGGAGAAAGGCCAAGTTTAGAAAGCAACTGTTGTTATTAATCAAATTATTAAAAAGATATCTTGGGTTCCGATTCGAAATGTGATTTTATTCAGGTTTAACCCTCGGAAGAATCAACTGTCAACAACAGAGTAAATTGAGAGACTAGTACTAAGTCGAAGTCGACCTCAGTGAATGTGGAAGAGAGACATCGAAGTTCAGAAAAAGAAATGTCTGCACGAAATTCCAAGCGACATTAAACCAATTTCCTAACTCACTCGTATGTGACGGAAATAACTACTCCAAGCACTCGTACATTGGATATATTGTGTGTTTATGTCAAAATGGTAATATTGACTTTAACATTATTGTGCAAATGCATTAGGAAAATGTAATGAACATAAATAAATACATTTCAAAATATCACAAACGTGAAAACGTCTAAACACAAAAAACAACATCATAAGTGATCGTATTAAAGAATATAAAACATGAATGATTGTAGTAATCAATACATAATAGAAACAAGCAAATAAAAGGCGATTGGAACAACAGTTTAAATCATGCGTCTATAAATAACTGAAATGGCAGTTTAACATATGTATAAATGAGCTATCGATCTAAATCAGATGTCTAGGAATAGGTGGGATAGTATTTGATGTGATTAGGAATAGCTTCAAGTAACAAGTGCGAAAGTCGCATTCGGAATAGACGAGATATTAGTATGACTCAGGCGATTAGCAGTAACTAAGATAGCAGAAAAAAAACAGGCGCCTAGTAATAAGTGGGATACCAGCATATTAGAGGAGATCAAGAACAACTCAGACATCTGTGAACTGTTAAAGTTTGCACTTTCAACATCTATAAAATATAATCCGACAGTTATATTCACACTTCCCAATCGAAGAATTTCCCAGACGTACCGATATATATCCAAACGCCTGTCAACTCCAAGAAGAGCTCCTGGTGTGGATTTCAACACTTACACACCTTTCTGTCGAGAATTCTTCAACCATCTGGATTATAATGCAGTGTTCTACATTTGCTGCTGCTCTTCTAGTTCAGAGACAAACACTCATGCATATAAAAGAGTCAGAAGACTGCCAATGCCGAAACACGTGAAGCATACAAAGAAAATACAATCTAGCATCCTGTCCAGAGGCACCTTCCTGGTCGTAACAGTCTTAGCGTCTTGAGCTCCTTGTCTGGAAGAGACACGGTCAGTGTCGTCCTGAGGCGTGACTTCACTTGTCTCCATCCTTATGGATCTCCGTTGTCCTGGACGTTCTGGCGGCGGTGGTGGACATTCTGGACCAAGATGGTGGCAGCGATGGCGAGAAAGCCTTGGATCTGGACCATGATGAGGTACATGGAGAGGTTGGAAACAGAATCAGAAGTTGAGGGTGTGCAGTTGTGGATTAGACTGAGAAGGAGGGTGTTCGACACAAACACTGACATGACAAAGCCCATCTTCTCCCCCGAGCTAGCCGGCAATAAAAAGACGACGCTGTTGAGGGCAGACTGCAGACACATTGGGAAAACCAGGTTCAAGACGTGGAACAAGTACTTCCTTGACAGGTGAATGTAGAATGTGGCCAGATGGTAAGTGGCTTCATGCACAAAAGTTGCTTTAGCCGATGTAATGTTTACAGTCTCCCATTTCCCATTGGTTTGCAGGTTCAAGCCGACACGGCCAATAGTGATTTCTGGTTCTAGGGTGATCTTGTATCCCACTCCTGAAGTAAATAGCACTGGACAGATCTGACTGTCGAAAGGGTATTTTCCCAGATCTGTTTTGCACAGGACAGATACTGTCATTGCATTCTGCCAGAAAAGACGACCATCATATGTTAATGTGACAGGCATTGACGTCTGCAAGGGGCCATCACCCGAGGCCCTCACAGCAAAAATAACTTAGTTTCCAAACTTGCGGAAACCTAATGGATACTGGGTAATGTATGTTTCCGCTAGGTTTCAGTATCCGGAAACAGACAATGCTAGTTTCCGCATAGTTTACAAAACTGAAACTAACAAATCTAGGTTTCCGTCAGGTTTCTACAACTGAAACTGTCTTTATGAGTTTCCATTTAGTTTCAGGTCGCTGAAACATTCATAGCAAAATGACTTAGTTTCCGTTGTTGCGGAAACCTATTGGATACTGGGTAATGTAGGTTTCAGCTAGGTTTCTGTACCCGGAAACTGACAAGTCTATTGGTTTCAGCTTAGATGAAATGGCAAACTTAGCTTTGTGCTGTTCCATTGGGGGACTATATTTATTTACTGTTACACTTGCAAAATAATTTCTTTATACATAATCCAGCTAGGGATACTAGTATACTAGTTATTTTACTGTCCTTCGCAGACAGGTAAGTACAGTATATACCTCACATAGCTCATCGTTAGCTAGCTGTGTAACTAACGAAGACAGAAATAGATGTTGCTCGATACTTTATAAGCAGTTCCACTGCGCAGATTCATACGATGACCCAATCCAGCGCTTTTAATGAGAGGACATGCGTCTACAAAAATATTACAGCGGAAATACAGTCTCCAATTAGTGATTAATAACTGACAATGTATT